AAACGTGTGAATGGAGCTCAGAGAGGGCAGGAGGGACGAGGGGGAGGAGGAAAGAAAAGTCGGACACACAGGAAACACACTCCCAATGAAAGCGTCTCTCTGACCTTCTAATTCACTCGCTGTGATGAGACGGACAGAGAGAGAGGCAGGTAGAGAGATTTGGAGACGCTACGTAACATGCTTGAACTTAAATGGTGTATATGAGTGTGTGTTTGGGATTATTGGATGAGAGTCTGAGCGCTGTTTGTCCTGGTTAGTCTGAATTAAGAGTTAACCTTAATATGACAGAGAGACTTCCTGTGCTGACAGACAGATAAAGGGTTTCTTTACAATAAGGCTTCATTTGTTAACATTAGTTAATGCATTATTTAACATTAACTAACAATAAGCAATAGGCCTATATATTTTTACAGCATTTATTAATATTCGGTAATGTTAGTTCATATAAAAACTTACAGTTGTTCATGTTTCTGTTAGTGTTCGCTTACATGTCTGTGCTATTTTTGTTTATTTTTATGCTTTATTTCAATATTTGTTTATATTTTAATTAAATTATTTACATTTCTGCATTATATCGGCCATTATCCACTGTTTTTGTTGCATGCAGTGTTATTTTATTATTTATATAGTTTCCGTGACAACCTCGTGCCTCATTCCAAGGTTGTTTGGGTTAGCCAAGGAGGAAAGGGCAGCACAGGAAATGACATCATGCCTCGGAGGTAAAAGCCTTGAGTCTTGGGTAGGGCCTCCCGGGCGCCTCCACCGAGCGGAAAGAAAACATTATGAGAAAATGACACAAAGCAGCTACTTGAACGTTCCAGAGCAACTTTGACGACATGTTTTGAACTGTGAACGCTTTGTTGTGCTTTTCGGTCGTTACCGGCCACTTCCTCTTCCATCAAGCTTGAAATTTGACTTCAGCTCTTCATCCCTTTCAAATCAAGGTTAGAAGAGGAACATAGAAGAAGAAAGTCAGTACAAACGCCCTCAGGATCCAGACACCTCAGATGCAAACATTTTCTTAAACCGCAATCTAATCGCTTAACTAAACACACAGACAGACGGCATGTTTTCTCACGCACACACGTGATCCGTTCATTCAGAAAGTCTTTCGGCGTCTCCGGTCCGACTGGCAGCTCGATTGCAATGAACAATTGAACATCACATTATAATTATTTACCGTCTAAACAAGAATAAAACAACAACACAGGCTCCGCTCAGCAGGCTCGACTGGTCGTCTAAACTGGAGTCTGAAAGGGAGTGCTGGTGGGTACATGGAAAAGTTTAGAGAAAAATAGGGTAAAAGCGTAAAAGTAATTAAATAACAAATATGAAATAAATATGATTAAAATAATAAAAAAATATAATGATGAATAAAAATATGATTAAAATAAATAAATAAAAATAGGAATAAAATGAATGAAAATTAGAAAAAAAACAAATAAATAAAAATTGGATTAAAATAAATAAATAACAATAGAATGGTGGAGAGAGTTAAACTGCTGACCTTTGACCTCATAATCAACATGATGTCATAAACCATTTTCTTTGGCCCGACACACCCACAGCGAGCGTACAGTACACAACCTGTGCGTCGTAAAATCTGTGCCGTCTGATCCACGTATTAGTGCACAATGGAGGACGACGTGAAGTATTTCCCCTGCGTTGCAGCTTTTCCTGACTCTGTGTGTTTGTGTGTTATGTGATGGCTCTCAGTCTAATTGCCAGTTTCCTTTATTGACTTCCAAACAAAGAAGCTGCCAAACATTTCTGTCCATCCGTCTATGTGTCGCTCGGTCGAGTGCGTGTGAGATTGTTGTTATGATAGCGATGCCTGAGGAAAAAGGCCATATTTATAGAGCCGTAACTGACATCCACACATCAGAGAAGTTGCCTCCGGGTTTGTTTGTTTAGTTGGTATTTTGCTTGACCAATCCAAAACTGTCTGCCAGTTGTGTGCAATCATTTCGTCGGGCCTGAAATGAACTCTGCACAAGAACGTGAACGCTAACGCTTCTAGCTACGCAAGCGCTAGTTTGTAGTTCAGATAATTACCAGAAGAGGCGCTGTGGTGTGAACCGTTTTAAAGCTGCAAGATTAAATATTAGTAAATAAATGTTAAATATTAGTATTGTACTTTTGCAGCTGTTCTGTAAAATAAAATGATTGTTGTTATTCTTAAATACTCATTTTTTATTTTTCAGTAAAATGTTACAATAGAAATGTTTTTTTACTTTTTATGTAATATGATTATTAATAATAATAATAATAATTTTGTCTTAAATACAATTTTTTTATTTTACTGTGAAATTTTGTACAATATTGTTTCTTATTTCGTTTAATATTTTTATTTAGTAGTAATGATCATTGTAATGACAATAATAATAATGATAATGTTTTTTCTTCGCATTTCGATTTTTTTTCTCTCAAATCATTTTTTGCGTCTGTGTTTTGGCATACTTGTGTTTCTGGTATTTGAAAAGTTAGCATAACCCGTGTTGTGTGCTGTCGTCATCATTGGTTTAGGTTTAGGCCCCTGACCTCTGACCCCTGACCTCACGGCATGTCCTCCAGCAGGCGTGCCGCTCGCTCAATTCACGTCCTTGTGCCGTCAGCGGATAAGAGCTCCGGCTGGTCGTAAAAGAGGCGTCGCCTCCCGTGAACCTCAGCCAGACGAGAGACGATCAATAAAAACACTGACTTCCCTCGAGTGTGTGTGTGTGTGTGTGTGTGTGTGTGGTATTTGAGCTCTCAGACCAAAGGGAGCCAGTGTGGACAGAGGAAGAATGGTTTGTTACCTAAGGCAGTAAAGCTCTAAATGGAGATTTGACTTCAGCTCAACCACAAACAAAGACCCTGAGTGTGTGTGAAGAGACTTTTTGTCCCCTCTAGAAGAGAAAGAATGAATGAAACTGCTTGGGGGAAGGGAGAGAAAGAGGGAGAGAGAGGTTCAATAGGGCCCTATGAAATCTTTTTTACTTTTTCCCAAATTGTGTTTTATTCAATTATTCATTTTATTTAATTATTTATTTTTACAAATTTCGTGTTTCTGTTTTGATTTTTCTGGATTCCATTTTACCCTCAAATTCGGATTTATTTAATTATTTAATTTTTACTTATTTATTTTACAAATTTCGTGTTTTAATTTTTCCTTTTTCTTTCTTTCTTTCTTTATTTGTTTTAACAAATTTCCTGTTTTCTGTTTTTATTTTTCTGGATTTCATTGTATTTTTTCCCCAAATTCTGATTTATTTTTTCTAAATTCTATTTTCTCTTGTAACTCTTCTGGATTCCATTTGAATTGTTTAATTCAATTTGTAGTCATTAAACAGCATGTCTGTTCAGTTGAATTCATAAAACTTAATTTGATCAACCTTTTACAATATAATAAAATGAAAATATAACAATTCATTCTCGCTTATGATATTCTTTAAAATATGAATAATAAAAAATATAATGTAATTTATAATATATAATAATTTCTTTGTTAACCAGTCTTGTTTTGTTTTGTTTTTTGGCAGTTTATCATGAAGACCTTTGAGTTTCCATTTCTGTGCAATAACTAACTCATAGGGCTCTAGTTGAGAGAGTTTGCTCTAATAGAGTTCAGGATATCAACTGAAGGCTTGAGGCTGTAGAAGACTTGAGGTGTGTGTGTGTGTGTGTGTGTGTGTGTGTGTGTGTGTGTGTGTGTGTGT